TGACTTCTTTAATAAAAAAGACCAGAGAAAACAAGCCTCATTGGCCTTTTTACACGTGGAGTTTGTATGCTACAGCAGACGTCGGTTTTTTCATAGACAGGAGTTTGAGGGGGGAGTCGCTGTGCTATTTGAAGTATTGATTAAACATGCAAATTATATTTATTTTCACTGGTGGATAAGTAGTGACAAGGATGTTTTAAATGCCCAAGTGCCTGTTATACCTCTGGATTAGTTTGTGGTTTACACAAGATTCGGTTGTCTGCCTTCATTATAGTGCTTCAGGGAAAAAGAAGAAAAAAATGACCGAAAACAAGCAGAGCTGATACAGAGGGTGCGCACAGGCAAATTGGGGTGTGATTGTCACGGCCTTGCTTTGGCCGCCAGAATTTCTAACCAAATGCCTGTAAGTCAAATGACGAAAAAGAGAGCAGTAGATCCTATAAGCTCTGCTTGGGTCAACCATGTGTTGCAACGCAAATCTTCGAAAAGCTAGTGTAAAGATGAAATGTTGCTTCAGCCCTAAAGGAGCTCCAAAACATGGTTGTATAGCATAGATCTGTGGTGATGCTTTCTTTCGACTGCCCCTACCTTCTCTTTGGAAGCACTTCTGTAGGAAAAAAATATCTCCTTCCCTTATAAATATCGCTTTAAAACTAAGAAGCTTCATTAGCGCTAGAAGCAGTTTGATCCATTGCTGTGGCCTGAACCCCAGGCGAGAATATACCTTCCTCTGGGGCTCTCCACCTTGGTGTACTGTTGAAAATGTAAGCAAACATCTCTGCTCTGTGTACACAGAGAAAGTGATATATGAACACAGGGATTGCAGCTTTCTTTTTAATGAAGTTTCTTATCAGTGTGCTTGGCTGGAAGACTGACCATAGTAAATCAGAAGCTCCAAAGCAGTGTAGGCAGCTTCATTTGACATGGAAATTAAAATGCTACAAATGGCGAGTGTGGCCTTCTCTGAGAGATGACTGCTCCCAGTTTTACTCTGTTTACCTGCTTTTGAAGAATAAAAATCCCCATTAGAGGACAATTTGGGGAAATGTTCATATCCCTTGCTCCTGTTTGACCTCATTAAGAAATGCTCAGACAGCAAAGGGGTGCAGGAGCTCCAAGAAGGAGCAGGTGCTGTTTTGTAGCGGGGATCTCTGCCAGGCTTTTCTAGCCAAACTAAATCTCTTTGGAGTTTTTCTGCATTTCCCTCAGTTTAAAAATCTTTAGGTGATGAGACTGCTTGTGGTTCATGCCGTTGTGCCTCTGCGTGCTGTGTATCTTCAGCCTGTTGGCGTGCTCATCCCTATGGCCCCTACTCCTGTCTGCGTTGCTCTCTGCAGTCAGTTTGCCTTCTCCTGCAGTAAAATTCATCCCCGCGCAGGTCCTGCCATGGTCCTTTACCATCCTTGAAGTCTGACCTGGAAGTCGTGGTTGCTTCAGAAAGGCCGTGTGCTTCTCTAGGGTGGATGCTCGTTCTGGCCCCAGGTAGACTGGTGTGGAAGGTGATCAAGTAGGGCTTGCACATCCGTGTTTGTCCTTGCCCAGTGGTGCCAAAGGTTTGCATTTGGGGCTGGCCGCTGTAGCGGGTGGCTGGAGTAGCAAGGCAGCCGTTCTGCCCCTTCATTTTCTCGTAGACAGATGCCTGCAGACTTCCCCCTCTCCAGCACACCCACCCTCCCCTGTCCTTCAGCTCCGTAGCATACAAATTTTTCTGGCTCTGCGAGCTGGTTGAGGGGGGAAATGTGTGAGCAGAAAGGAAACTTTATTGTGATAGACAAGCTGGAAGATTGACACGGTCTTCGTAGATTATATTAAAAATAAATGGCTCTGCTTCAGCCTGTGAAGTCTGATCCTCATATATTAACTGCATAGGCTGGGGGGGAGAGCTGTTTTATTTTCTGGGTTGTTTGCTTTATGCCTGTATAATCTCAAAGGGTTTTACCTGCCTGCAAACCTTAACGTATTATGGAATAGCTTGAGCAGAATAATGTATGGTTTAGGCAATGTATGGATACACTGATTTTTATTGACAATGTACAACAATAAAAGTATTACTTCCCTGTTTGTCTGCTGACCATGAAACAGACTGGCATGTTACTAATGCTGCGCTGCTAGTAAAATCTTACTCTATCGTGTGTTTCAGAATAATAACATGCATGAGTAAAGCAATTTTTGCCAATGATACTCTGTAAACAGTGACAAAAGTTTTGATATTTTATAAACCAAAATTGGTCTTCAGTGTCCTGTCTAAAGAGCAGCCTATGATTGGGCTTATAAAAATTAAAACATAAAAGCTAATAATTGCATTAAATGTTACCTATTTACGTGAAGTGTCTGGTGCAGTGATAGAGGGTTGGAAATGAGGTGCCATGAAAATGCTAAATCGGGCAGTTCTGAAAAAAGACAAGAAAAACATTTCCCATTCATTGAGCTGAGAATTTTTAAAATTAGTGTTTAATAATGGAAGACTAAAGGAATGGAGTTAAACATTTAATGAGTGAAATACATCTAGAAATAATACCAAGGGGAGACTTGTACAGAAAGACTCAAGCAAGAATTTGGTACTTGGGCTGTTGCCCAAAACTCCTTCTTGTTGTTAAGTAATAAATTAATAATTTAAGCCATTAGGCTTCAGCTTTTAAGCAGCTGCACCTTGAAATGCAAGTTACCTCAGCCTTAGAATCACAAAAGACTTCCCTCTTTCTGCTTTCTTTTATTCATCTTTTACACTTTCTTTTTAAGTTGGTTTTATAGTCATTCCTTTATTTGCTTGTTGGCTGCCGAGTGTTGTGAATATGAAATGCATCACGGTACTTCTGATCTTAAGTGTCTACAAATGTAAAATGACCTTGACTGAGATCAGATTCACTAGTATATTCCTTCCCTGCTGCTCAGTAATTGTAGCCTGCCTCTTTCAAAAACAAGTAACTAGAAGAAAAGTCGAGAAGCATTTTCTTTGAAGTTGCCAACAGCCAAATGCGAACACTTCCAAACAGAAACCTTGGAAAGTTTCAACCTGAAGGCAACTGCTGTAGTAGTGGTCTGAAATTATGGCCTTTCCTAATAGCAGTACTCACACTACCTTATCTATGCAAGCAGAAGAAAATTTTAAACTAGCTATGCTATTTCTTTTTTTTTCTAGGTCTTAATAGTTCTCAGTTTATAGTAGCTAAAATGTGTGTTTAAAAAAAAAAACAACCACAAAAACTAAAAAAAAAAACCACACAAAAAAACCCCACCACAAAACAAAAACCCAAAACAACTCTTTTCAGTACTCCTGAGTGAAGCTATTCTGCTTGTTTCGATCACCTGCTATCATCCTGCTTGTCAGTGGATAAAGACTCAACACCTACTTGATGGTTCAGTTGCCTGAAGTGCTGTAGGGAGGGTTTGCTGGAATCAGTCTGGCAGCTGTGACATTCAACAGAAATTACCCAATCTGTCCATCTTGTTCCCACAACTGGAGAAAATTACTGTGATCAAAATGGAAAGAAGAGTAGTTAACCTTTTATTGACTTCTCAGTAGGGTGGTTTTCTGTAGCAGTTGGGAAGCTTAGCTCTTGTGGGTTTCAGTTTCCCATCACAGCCAATTCCTCTGTGTTTCTGGGCACTGGGATTTTCTGACATATTTTTATTTGCTGAATATTGATACTTTCTGGCTAATGTAAAGAAAAAATTTTGGAAATGTTCAAAACATGCCTCAGAACATAAGCCACCTTTTAAGTAGTAGAGACCAGGACTTGACAGATGATGTCTGGATAAAAAAATAAAAGACAGCATACATTTTGACGTTTGACCATTTTCACTTGTGCTTTGGTATAGGTTGGAGGGAAATAATCGGACAGCTTGGGCAAAGAGTAATGGTGTGAGTTCTGTAGGATTTGCGAGTAAATTAAAATATTCTGGAGTGTAACAGCAGCAGGTGTTGCTTGGAAACCTGTCCCACATGGGACAGAAACACAACCTAACCAATGGGACCAGCAGTACCAGAATTGAAAGCATTGGCCTAATGTCTTTTTGTGGCAACGTTGTGAAAAATAGTGCCACTGTTTATTTCTGCTGCTGTATATTGTAGGGAGATGATAAGGGAGGGGGGAAAAAAAATGTACTTGCCACAGTAATTTATTCTAGTATGTTCACATGTGCTAAAGAAGAATGATGTTTGAAAAGTAAATGTGCTTCCTTCTAGTCGGGGGAGGGGAGGGTAAAAAAAAATCATGACACCTTTTTAGTTTATAGACTTCTTTTGAAGGTTTTTTACTGCAGGCTTTTTACTTCTTTTTCCTTATAACGCTTTAGAGACTTTGATTGCAGCATCTGATTTCAATGTGTCCAGGGGCATCATATCTAAGATATTCCCTGAGTGTACTTTCTCTTTTTGTTCATTAAGTTTCTTCAAACAGAATATTTTGTTTTATTGCATGGTGTGTCCATCTGGTCTGATGTGAGAGGAAAGCACATTCTTTGAATAACTAACACGTTCATAGGTCACAACTTTTCTCCTCTTAAAATGGCTGCTGAGAAAAGACTTAAAGTATTAGACACAGAAGATGACCGGTGTATGGCCATCAAAGTTCTGAGGTTTTGTGCAGTGAACTTTCCCAGTGAGAGGACCTCCAAGAGGTGAAAACAACTAGGGGTTTCAAACACTTGTACAATATTTACAGTGGTACGGCCCTAAAGATTTAGGTCATTTATGAAAAAATTTCATCTATCCTGCCTGTGGATTGCAGTACACATATAACAAGCGTTTAGTGCATTTTCCTTGTTTGTTTCCTTCAGACCAAATATTTTAAAATTTAGCCTTTACTGTTTTTCATTTTTATTTAATTATCAAAGATGTATTTTATTACATGGTTTCCAGTTATAATGATTTTCTTACAATATTATTCCTACCTTTGTGTCCAGGTACAATAACCAGAATGGATTGATTTGCGGTAAATAAACAACCTATCTTAAGATCTCTTAGGATAATTTTGTTTATTATTTTTTATTTCTTGTAGATGTGATCCATACTGTTGGGCCGATTGCAAGAGGCCATCTCACTGACACTCATAAAGAAAACTTGGCAAATTGCTATAAATCCTCCCTGAAACTGGCAAAAGAAAACAACATCAGATCAATTGTAAGTACTCTGTGAGAACACAATATTTTTTTGTAATGTGGATCTTTGTTTTCTTGCTGTAGAATAATTATAAATATAATGGTCAGCTTCCAGAAGGATTTCTTGCTGTATGTGATGTGAAAAAGCAAAAAATTAAATATCATTTGGCTAAAATAGTTGCTAGAGAAAGAGATACGGTTATTTTAGGAGGTAAGGAAAGCTGGCCTTGTAGTAGGTATAAAAACAACTGAACCAATAAGAAAGGGAGGGAGTTGTTCCTGTGGCTTGCTTTTATACAGTATTATTTATTAAAAAAAGACCTAAGAAGCCACTGGTCAGGTGGATAACTGCATGCAATGTTGCCTTCTAAATAGCTGAGAAGTGATTTAATTTGTTGCTTATTCTATCCATTAATGTTTCTTCCTAAAAATAAAAGTATTGGTCAAGTGGCAGTGCTTTTTATAGCACTCCCTCACCAAAATCCATCATAAAACAGCCTGTTATGTGATCTTCCATTGAATGCTAAAGGTTCTTTGATTGCTTGAAATATACATTACATTTTTGTACCTCAAAAGGCCAGATTTTCAAAATCCAGAGAGGAAAGGAGCTGTTCCCTCTCTGGCTCTGGAGCTTTGATTCTGTTGCTCAAACTGTAGCAGCTGAAGTGTTTAGATACCCCTAGGTTAGTTCCCTAAATGTTTATCAGAAAAGGAACTTATCACCTGGGCATGAGTCAAGCCTTTTGGGTCATTTTGGCTAATTGTGTGATAGCATGTATGTTTGGCAGCTTAGAACACACGCTTAATCTAAAAAATGTTAATTGAACCAGTGGTGTTACATCAGGGTAAAATACTCAGTAAGGGAAAGCTGTTAACATCAAAAAATCACAAGTGGAAAAATAAAGCTTTTTGAGGAGAGGGGTAGGGCTTTGAGCCCAAGTGAGATGTACCCCTCAGAGCCAAAGCTGATGAATATTGCTTATTTCTTTCTTTTTGGAGTAAACTGGGCTTTTCACACTTTTTCTGCTGATGAAGTTCTCTACTTCTCAAAATGCTGTCCAGCCCTCCCTTTGCCATTATCTAGCTGTGGTGGTACCCAATTTAGTTGTGACTTGATTTTTGGTCTTTTTTTTCCTTTTCATACGATGAACATAAATTAGAACTGAAAGCAACCTGAGGGGAGGGGGGCATGTTTTGAACTCCTCTCTGGGATTATTTAAACATCCAAGGATCTTCCTCTGTCCTGCTATCATTGGAGGCACTAACATCCCTGTGCTGGTGCTCCCGTGTTCTTCCTTGTTCTTGCCTTTAGGCTCTGGGTAATTACATGGTTCTTCTGGGGCAGTCAGGTTAGTGAGAATAAAGTTCCTAACGTGGTGGGGAGGGTAAAGAAATGGTTTGAAAATAAGAACATTGAAATAACAAAGGAAGAACTGCAGTGGGCATTGATCGATGCTGGTAATGCTTCCATCTGTTGCAATTCTTTAATTTTAGGACATTCTTGGTGGTAGCTTGGTATTTAACATAGAATAATAAAGAGTGGCCATTCTCATAGGTTTCATGTAAAACTAGCCTGATAATTTAGTAAGAAAAGATGACCACGGGAGAAATCATCCACAGATTATTTCCTTGCTGGTTAAGAGCTGTTGACTCTGCACCTGTTTGAGATAAAAAAAAAAATACTCAACACCCAGACTTGCAGAACACAGCTGCACAAGCTGAACAGGAGCCAAGAGCCATTCATTCATAGCAGCATTAAGAAGCTTAGCAGGCAATATGGATTTTAAAGTCCACATGACAGATCATGGACTGTTCTGAAAAGCCCTAAGTCCAGTGATTTTAGTGATGCTTTGGGAAGTGAAGGCTACTTGAGTGTCTACCCTAATGAACAAATCAAGCCTGGAGCAAAGTAAAATGTGTAATTCATCCAGTTAAGGAGCAGTAGATTACTGTGAGTCTGAAGAAAAGAGTACGAATTGCAAGTGGGTTTCACAAGATCCAGTACAGTAGACATAGAGGGAAAAAGAAAGAAAATGAATAAAAATATTTGCAGAGACCTGGTAGAGAGAACAGAAGTACTCAAATTGACTCGAATTTGCAACATCTGAGTGTGATGAACAAAAATTGGGGGAAAAAGGTTACCTATGTAAAATAAGGAAGAGGAAATCAGCTGGGTGGGTTGATGGCATATTTTGGTGGCCTCTTTAACAAGAAGATGAAATGAGCACGGGAAAGAGGAAAATGAATTTTAAAATAGGTACTGAGTGTAAGCAGGAAGAGCAGTGTACTTAAGACATACAAATGAATAGGTATTGATGATAGCAGGTCATAGCATACTAAAAGAATTAACTAAGCCAGAAAGCATTGGATTATGAGCAGTAGTAGCAAGTGAGAAGGAAGCAAGAAGGCATGAAAGGACTTCAAAATGTTACTTCAAAACAAAGGACAGCAAGTCTAGGAATTAATGCAAAAAGAGGGGGGGGGGGAAAAACCCCACCACAGTTCAAATTGTTTTGAACATGAATTGTGTCGTAGGAATTGGAATTGCTGGGAGTGTTATGAATGAAGAGTAATGATGAATGGCAGCATATCAAGTTGGACAGAAGTGTGTGGAGTGACTCAGGGTGCACCGCTAACCGCAGTTTAATTTAACATCTTTATTAATGATTTTTGAAGAGTCCATAAACAGCTCATTAATTACATTTATAAATGATGCTACATTAGGCAGCGTTGCAAACACTAGAAAAGGACAGAGATATATGATGACAATTGATTACAGAGACTGCGAGTATAACCTCATCCAGCACCCGCTCCAGCACCAGAAGGGAGTCCTTGCCTCCACTTCAGTGGAAGATAGGTCAGAACCAGAGCTGACAGCTACAGTGTAACTTGGCATGGGAGAAGATGAGGTAGCATATGGTGGGGGAAAATAACCCAGTTTGCAGATAGTCAAAGGGAGAAGTGTGCTGGAAAACCAGCATAATGAGGAAATGGTCTTGAATAATAAGCCTCGATTTAGATATGCTTACAGCAGTCACTTGCTTTGTTTCAGTATTACATATTGTTGACCTGCCTATAGAGAAATGATGGATGCCATAGAGGTTGTAGTTTCTGTTCAAAATGGACTGGAGAGAACAGGAATAAGATTTGGAATAGATCAAAACTCACTTATACATATGTGTATGTAGATGTTTTACATACTGAGGAAAGGAAGCAATCATCTTGAAATACTGTGTAAATTGTGAGATGCAGCTTTATGGAAGGGGGAAGAGAGGAATATCATTATGTGTACGACAAAATGGCAATTAAATGGTGTAGCTGATGTTAATTTGGGTTGCATTTGTGTCCAAGGTGTCTGGGCATGGATGAGAGCAACTCTGTGCTAACTCTTGGGGGAGCACTGAAATCTCATCTGAAAATGTTATAATCTCAGTATATAAAAAAAAATGTGGTGGGTAAAACCAGAAATGAGATGAGGGAATATAATGAAATGCCAGTCAGCGTGATTGCCTAGGATCATAACTCACCAGCAGCCCAGCCATGGGCGAGGATTTGCATAGCCATTAAGGCAGAAAGAAGAGCCTCAGGAACAAATTTGATCATCTGTAGGATTGTTCAGAGAAATCAAACAGCCCTGACATTTGTCTCCCACGCCCGTTTTCTCAAACCTTTTACGCTCTAATATGAGGTTTCGAATGCCATGTCAGCTGTTTTCATACAGGAGTTTGTCTCTCTCAGGTCATCTATTCCATCTACCCTTTAGGTTACCAAAGTAAACTTTATGTTTGTGTTTGTACTTG